TAACACCGAAGTTAAATAATATTTGTAATAATTACAGAAAATACACAATGTTCTTAAAAATTAATTCTTTCGTCTTCAAATTATAATTCTGTAGGTTTCGGCACTAATTGTTAATTTTCTTTTGAAGTCCTACCTCTACAGACATATCTCAGTTCAAGAGTGTGGATCAAATGCAACAGGAGGAGTATGCATTAGACAAGACGTCACAATCAGTAAGCGGTCCGACACTTCTTCGAAATTTGTTCACCGTTAGTGTACTTCACGTCATACCTGTCCCCATTCCCGCATGTGCAAACTCCTCGACCGTGCATTTTGTCATCTTGCCATTCGCCGTCATACCTGTCCCCTTTCGCGTATGTGTAAACTCCTCGACCGTGCATTTTGCTATCTAGCCATTCGCCGTCATACCTGTCCCCATTCGCGTATGTGTAAACTCCTTGACCGTGCATTTTGCCATCTTGCCATTCGCCGTCATATCGATCTCCGAACCAATCCGTATCTTTGCCCCATGTTTGAACTCCTCGACCGTGCTTTTTGCCACCTTGCCATTTCCCAGTATAATGCGTTCCAGTCGGCCATGCACATACACCTGTGCCGTTTGGTACATCGTTCACAGTATCACCGTCATAGCTAGCACTATCAGCTAAGATCACTTTCTTCTTCGCTACTATCGATGATGAGCCGAAACTGGTTGTCCCCTTTATCGTGAGTGAAGATATTGAGTCACTCACTGATTCGTCATCATCATCAACTTCGCGCAGATGCACGATGTGTAAGCCACCAGAGTGATCAAGCGCATTACTTACGACCTGCAGTGTGGTTCCGGGCATCAGAACAAATTCCTTCTCGTTTGCATAGCAAGTGTAAGATGAAATGCTCTTTGCGCTCACTGCTTCGATCATGAACAATGTACTATTAGTGCCTAGAAAGTCCTTGATGATATTGATCGACGAAGAACAGGAACTGACTGACCACCATGTCAGTAGTTGTCCTTCTTGAAAGCTGCTACTCACGTCAGCATCGACACCACGCCATAAAGGTAGCTTCTTAGATGGTAGTTTGTTAAGAGCAGTGTCAAGCAGTTTCAAGTATGGAAACCATGGTTTTAATGCTGCACGATTTTCATCTCGTAGTGCTTTGTTCAATACGCGATAAAAGCTTCGATCACCCCGCTCCATCGAGTACAAATACAAGGCAGCTGATTCCTCTTTTGTAAGATGGTCGGACGAATAACAGTGTTGTTTAGCGATTTTAACATAGCGTTGGAGATTATCGATGAGTGGTATTATTTTCTCGAGTGAAACTTCCAATGGCACCAGTGGTGAACTGAGATGACCGTACACCGGTGGCAGCTTCTTGTTGTCTATATCGATGTCACAATATCGAACACTCATATCTCGACTAAAAGAAGAACGAAGACCAGTATTATATAGAAGTAGAAGGAGAAGAGGTTGTGTCAGCTAGAAAGACTGTTGAGATTAGTTTTTGCTGTTCCTATGGGTATGATTTCCGATGGAAAACAAAGCAATAATAAACTACATGTGAGATATCAGTGACTATTAGAGTCAACGGCTTTATGTTTTAACCAGAGAGAGAGACAAAAAAGACATTCGTTTATATCCTTGTCACTTCACTACCTGAAAATAGAAGTTTGAAGTAAGAGGACGAAATGAAACGTGTCATGATTTTGAAGTTTGATTCCTTAACAGTGAGATGTCTTTCTTTCTTCCATCCATCGCGAAAATATTTGCGTATTGGCATAGACGAAATCGTTTATTTATAGACTGAAGTGCTTGGAAGTGTGGAGGAATTGTATAATAATAAAGTTTATTTCAAAACTAAAATGGAGAAAACAAAATAAAATAAAATTCTGACAACGTGGAGCCGATTGCACAACCTCACTTGTACAGAATATGCGCAATCTCTATTCACGTTAACACTCACCTCCGTCGAATATATGGATTCATAGACTAATGTTAAAAAGAAAATGTTAAACGACGAATATTGAAAATCAATTAAATGTCTTTCCATCTTATTCGAATATTAGTCCGTACAATAGTTTTCTTTATTTAAATATTTTTCTATATGACCAAAACCTGCTTTAATATTAACATCATCGCCAGCTTTAATATTTGTTTCGTTTTAAAAATAATTAAATATTTTTCTATCTTGTAACTAGTCGTTTAATATTTTCTTTTTAACATTTTTCGGTATATCCGAATATATCTCATACGATTTCGAATAATTAAACATACGGTCGGTCTTTGAAAATCACAAACTATTGAACCATCAACTTGTTTGCAAACAACGACGTCTCTTTCAATACACATACAACAGAAGCTTAAACAGAATGTGGATTATGAAGATGAATTCACTGAAGTTAATCATACAAAAAAGCAAACAAAGACTAAGCACAATGAGGGTAAGACGTCGTCTCCGTCGCTGCATGGTTCTATCTCACCTACCAATACAGATAACAACGCTACCGATTGCTTAAGGGTACCCCTTTCCTCTTTTTTGAAAAATTTTCGGATTTCGAGCTGAGCATAGCCTAATGTAAAGGAAAGTATGGGCTAAAAAATGACCATTCTCAGCATTGCACAACCTTTCTTCAAAGGTATTATGTTATCCACTTTTGAAGTTTTTGGTTCAAGACATAAAAAAACTCAATTTTTTAGCTTTATAAACTTTTCTCTCCTTTTCGGTACATTCAACATTTTTCTTACACATAGTCTGACAGAAGAAGTGTTTTCTTCACAATACAATGTTTTTCAGAATTTTCTGATAAGTTTTCGTAGAGATATAAGCTTCGCGGCAAATACTTAGAAAAAAGTGGCTTATGTACAAAATGCGTTTTTCTCGAAAACTATTTTTTGCTACTGCGCTTCACCGGACCACATTACAACCCTCCTTAAATTTCATCGGATCGAGTTAAAAATTTTACCAGAGGCACTCAAGACACAATTGCAGAGGTATTCTTTTGGAATTTTATTTTAGACTTTTCTTTACCGACGTTCTTCTTCTTATGAGACGTTTTTCAGTATTTCTCCTATAACTCGACCGGGACACAGTGGGGAATTTTCAGTAGGCACGTGGACATTTGGTTTTAAACTGATCTATTTCACTTAAAACACCAGATGTATAGGTTTTCGCAAGCCCTCTTTCCTCTGGAACACTTTTTCAGCCGATATAGTGCTTAGAAAATTGGTTTTCTAGAGAATCTTGAGGGTTTTGAAGGTTTTAAGGTGACAGATATTACTTTTTTTAAAGTTTCATAGGTTTTCGAGTACGCTAAGAACGATTACGATATTTTCAGACCTCGCCAACACTCTGAGAACGTTTTTGGAAAGATCTAGCCTCTGGAAAACAGTTTTCTCCCTCAAGTAAAAAGTTAAAAAAGGTCTTACAGCGTAAATAACGTCACGCAACTCTCCTGACAGTGCCCACCACCATCCAGAAAAAAACTGGACGAGTCACTGACAGCAAATCTCTCTAAGTTCTAGAACGGTGTTAGGTCGAGGAACGGTCTCTCTCTCTCTTCTCTCTGTTAGAAGTCTTAGAAGTGTAGTTTTTACCAGTCAAACACCGTTCACAGCTTCAACTGTTCCAACACTTGGGGAGATTTGCTGTGGAGACTTTGTCACTTCAAATAACTTCTTCGGGACTCTCTCCGGAGCTTTAAAACCTCCTTGGGTGCCTTCCCTGCTCAGCTAGCCGCTTTGGGAATAACGGGAGCTTCAAAGTAGTCAAAATGATAGTAGTTTGAAGTTGTGATCTCAGAAGAACTGGCCGCTGCTGCTCAAAACTGCAAAAGAGCCAGAGGGGGTGCGTTCGGCAGTCGAACTCCTCTGGGCGACCAGAACCAACCGTACCCTCAACAGCTAACCACTACCCACAGAAACCAGAAGAACCAAGGCCTTATCCTTAACCGTAACAGACCTTACCTAAACACCATTACCGTGGTTTAACGTCGTTCCGGACGTAGTTTAACGTCTTCTCAGACTCTTCAGCTCATACTTCAGTAGTTTAACGTCATTTCGGACAAGACTGCCGATGGATGCTATTTTTTCTTAGAATACTGCTTTTACGGAAAAACTTTTTTCTCGCGAAGGTATTAAAAGATATACAGATCGATACAGTTTCGCGCGCTGATTCCAAATATGTCCTTACTTTTGAGATGAAGTGCCGAAAAACGCGAAAAAATCTTTCAAAAACCTTACGGATTTGAAATCCTTATAACTCCGGACCCTGAAGTTTGGGCATCTTTGGGCATATATATGTCGACGCGTCACATGTTGGAGAACATATCCTGAAACCGTCATCTTGAACGGACTTTAGCTAAAATTAGCGCGCTTACTATACTGAACACTTCTCTCGTGCACGTGCATGCGAAAATTGTTTCGATAATTTTTTCCTTATAAAAATGACTTAAACGAAAAATCTTTTTACCAATCGAAAGCTTAGATGTTCAGCTTTCATGACCTATTAAACTTAATTTTTTCAAAACTCTACTACTTAGAAAAAATAACGCGTCTCGCAAAAACAGGCAAAATCTTGACCTTACCTTTCTCGAGGATAATATAAGATAGGACCAAACGGTCTTCGACAAAATTGTTCGCCGTTGAGTGCTGCATATGGTCCACTATTCGAATTTTCAAAAATGTCACTTTCGATTTTTTACCTAATGTCTACGTTGTTCCCCACTGTGTGTAGGGAAAGTGAGTGTTTTAACAGGCGAAGAAAACAATATCAACATTATGTAGCCAAAGCAAAAGTTGAATTGTCAGAGATCGATAAACATGCTGTTTCATGCAAAAAAGAAATCAAATTAGATGATAGTCTTATTTTTGACAATGTGCGAAACATTTTCAAACGAAGAAGGTTAGAAAGTAATATTCCATTGCCAACAAGTCGTACAACAATAAAACAAGCATCAGTCATCAGTAGAGACCAGCAATGGATAAAAAGCAACAGTGGTAGAATGTACAAAGAGATAAAGAAAGAAACGGAAAACCGGTTAAAAAAAGGACAAGAGAAAGGAGGGAAGAGAGAAGAAAAGAAAGTAGTCGAGTATAGAAATTAAAATGCGAGATGCGATCTGAGACAACAGATAAGAAAAATATATAGATAAATCCTGTGTGTGACGTTTATCAAATCCTATTTTACCATTGTAAACATCATTTTAATGTTGTCTTGACAGTTTCAAAAACTGTTCTAATTTCGGATTGTGAGTCTATAGACCATTTTGTTTTAACTAGTGATGATGATATGTGAGCATATCGAAGTGTTTAGCTAATAAATTTCAATTAAATCTAAAGAAAAGTTCAAAAGTTTTTGATTAAATTTCCAACTTCATAAAGAATAATAGCATTAATTATGGATTTTATGATTTATTCTATCGCAAATTCGATTCACTAGTAACTATGCAGATGTTTTCATCTATTATATCTTTCTAGCCTTCTTTATGGTCAAGAGCGAGCGAATCAGAGCGATAAACGTTACTTAATAGAAATAATTGTGTCATGTTCCAATGATGAACTTGAATAGTGGCTTACAATAATATTTTCTAATTAGACGTATAATCTCTACAGGACGGATACTTTGGGGTCGCCTACCTATATGTACACCTTACCCGCTAGTACCTGCCTGTGCCTACTCATACATACCCATGCGTGACATTGCAGCAACACTTTTAAGTGGAGTTCGACCTACATGGACATTAAGGACTGGACATAGGAGCGGTTGTAGCATTGAGAGTGAGTGAGTAACCAAACAACATTTCATTTCGTGTGATATAGAATATTATCCTTGTTCTCTTTATGATTATTGTTTTGTTTGTCCTTTTATACATATAGGCATGGGTAGGTACCTATCAATGCCTACTAATTTTGAGGTTGCTGCACTCCGAAATTATCCATGAGGTCATAATCTTATAAAATGAGATCATAATCTTATTAAAATATAAGTTTTATCGATGGTTTATTTTTCATCTTCTTCGAAAGTGCTTTTTGTTTCTTTTACTTTATTTTTATTTGTAAGTAATGAATTTAATTTTATTGACGTGCGTTTAAAAGAAATACATGGATGTAATACACTTATGCTCATATGCAATGTGTGTTTTTGTAATGTTATTCTTACTCCAAAATCTTCTTTGTCTAATGACATTCACGCACAAAGTAAGTTACATAGTAATATAAACAAAAAGTTGAGTAAATGTACTTTTGATCACCAAACGCTTTTAGATACAAATGATCACCAAAAAAAGATACTTTTGATCACCAAACTTTTTAGATACAAATGATCACCAAAAAAAGATACTTTTGATCACCAAATTTTTTAGATACAAATGATCACCAAAGAAAGATACTTTTGATCAACAAATTTTCCAGCATCACATTTTTATACATATAAACATATAAATTTTAACAAAGACAATATTTTCACAGTTTTATTTACATTTATTTACAAATTTAAAGCTTTGCTAACTTTCTTGGGGCGTCCTTTTGTTTTTCGTTTATCCAATGGTTGAATACGTGTTTTATCGCTCACTTGATACAAGTTAAATAAAATTCCCAATCCAACCGAATGTTTACATGAATATTGTTTCAT